TAAGCAAAAAGGAAAAAAATCTGGAAGTGGCACTGTGGCTCAAGTGGTAGAGTGCTAGCCTTGAGCTGAAGAGCTGAGGGACAGCATACAGGCCCAGAGTTCAGGCCCCACGACTGGACTCCCCCCCAAAAAGAAAAGAAACAAAAAAAAGAAAGAAAAAAAAACCAGACAAAGGCTGATTAATAGTCAGCCTTTGCCCCTTCTCCATCTTTGCTAAAAAGTAAAAGAGCGTCTCTCCCTCACTCAAGTTTACCAAGCTGGCAGCTTTGCAGAAGACTACTGACAACCTTGAGGCTTATCACCAGCTGCACTGAGTTGCTGTATTAGTGAGAAGCTTATAATAAAACAATTTCTTTAATAGTGTCAATAGCATTGATAGTATTGGTTATGCTGACCAAGCCAAAATTATGTTTTACCTATGCTCCTGTGACTCAAGGCTATGATTTTGCCATGGTTTGCTTCTGTAACCTTGATTGCTTGCCTCAGTAACAGGGCCTTAAGCCCATCAATTAAAGACCACCACTGACTGGTCCCACTATGAGTGGCCTATTGCAGATTATTACATATGATGTTTACCATAAAGAACAAATGAATTTAAAGGTCATATAACTATAACTAATGAAAATGTACCAAACCTGCCTTGCATGGTTTGTCTATGTAACTATATGTGACCTACCCCTATAAAAACCCATCTTACCCTTAGCTCAGGGCCATTATCCTTCTTTCCTGGTGGTAGGAAGTAGTCCTCGTGCAGTGGCAATAAAGTTCCTAGCTCCTTTAACTGGGTGTCCTGGAGTCTTTTTTAGATCTAGGACATTATACTACCCACATGTGGCTATTGAACATTAGAAATGTGACCAATATGTACAAATTAGGAATTGTCAGAAGTTTAAAATGCTTATGGACTCTTGAAGACATTGTATAAAAAAAGAACAAAAATTTGCTGGGCACCAGTGACTCAATTCATTAATCCTAGCTACTCAGGAGGCTGAGGTCTAAGCATTAAAGTTTGAAGCCTGCCTGGGCAGAATAGTCCACAAGACCCTTATTTCCAATTAGCCTGCAAAACATGGAGTTATGGTTCAAATGGTAGAGTACCAGCCTTGAGAAAAAAGCCAACTGAGAAAATGAGGCTCTGAATTCAAGCCCCAGTACTGGTACAAGTACAAAACTTTACAACAACAAAATTTACAAAATTTGTAATAAGTAATTTTTTTATTTTGACTATATGTTAACAGATAATATTTTGGATATATTGGGTCAAATAAAATACATTAAAATAAATTTTCTTTGTTTTTCTTTGCCCGTTTGTTTCATATGGACAACATATAATTGAAAATCACATTTATATCTTTCATTAGATTTCTCATGATGTACAATGTGGAAATTTTCAGAGATTATTTGTTTAGGTCACTATGGCTGCAACAGAAAATGTACACTGAGAGTAGGAGGAAAGGTGGGTAGAGTAGGCCAGGACAAATTGTGAAGGATGTTGGTCACTCAGCTGGAGATTGAACTTAAGTTGAGTTTGGACTCATTGTAGATTTTGAGTGTGGGAATCGTGGTCAGAAGGCGGCTCTGGAAAAGAATACAATTGTAGACAGCAAGAGCTGTTATGCTGGTAATCAAAGATGCACACAAAGATAAATGTAAACTGTACTCTGAAAAGGACATTGATAAAATTGAGTGGGGGATGGGATAAACCTCAGAGGACTTAAAGTTTTCAGTCCTAGAATCAGTACTAGTGAAAAACATAATGAAATTTTGAGAGAGAACTGGATGAGGATCACCTGGGAGAGATGATTTTGATTATTGAAATGGTGAGCTTGAGGTGGATAACTAAAACCTAGGTCAGAGGGAAGAAGAGATGGGTTTTGGGATCACAATAGAGGTGATCCATCCAGTCTGATAATTATACCAATTAGTATTTGTGTGGCATTATAGCACATGGAATGTGCTCATTCTGTAGACTACGTTACATAATCATTATAGTAATCCAAGGCTCAAAATGTTTAAGTTTCTGGCCAATGGTCAGACAGCTATCACTGTAATGAACTAAATAATGCCTACTGGGTAAATGTACAGTAATCTTAGACTGCAGATTCTGCATTTTCAGTGCCTTCACATTGCATCTTAAGTTTAGGGCCAGAATCAACTCTGGACAACCCACCTTAGGGTTCTCTTTTGTCATCAATCTCTGTCAATGATATTACAAATGTCAGTTTTAGGGATGAGGAAACAGAATCTGGAATGTTCAGTAAAAGATGAAAATGTCTACTAGTTTACAGTATGAACTCAGGTAAGTGTTTTAGAAGATTGTGTTTTGTTCCTGGGTGATCATTTTTACTTTTCTTCAAAGAGTACATCACTACATCCTGCTCCTTTGCAACTGACGTGACCTTTGCAAATTGATGTGGCCTTTGTCATAGAACTTGCTTTGAACAATGGAATGTGAGCCAAAGTAACTTCCACCACATACAACTTGAAACTTTAAAGTTCTTCATGGTTCAGCATCTTCTGGTGTTTTCCCTTTGAAACATGTGCTTTTGCCACATCCAAAACAAGGGCTTCTTTCAGTCAAAATCCTATACTGCAGCAAAACCAGAGATTACTTGTAGCTACTTCAACTAGACTTTGTTATGATAACTGAGGTTTGAGAGTTGTTTGCAACTATAACAAACCCAAAGTTGATAAATACATTGCTCCTACATATGAACTATTTTTTACAATGATTGTACACAATTACTTGCTTATCTGGTTAACTTCTACTCATCCTTTATATCTTTCATAAAGTATTACTTCATTGGTCAGATATTTTTGTTGAAGAGGGTAACAGTGGTAGAGCAGTTGTATAGTGTGCACAAAGTCCGAGGTATAATTTCAAGTGCCACAAAAAGAGTTCTTTCATGAACTTCAAATATAATTTAGATACTAATGTTCCCTACTGTATACAAGCACACACACACACACACACACACACACACACACACACACACACAAGCCATTACTTTCTCCTATAGAATTTATATTCTCTGCACTTACACATTTATAATCATATATTGATTTAACTGTCAACATGTTCCACTTGACTGCAAGCACATGAAGTTCTGCAAAACATATTCTCATCACTATTATATAGTGTCTATCAGAATGCTTGTCATCTAGTAGGTGTTAAGTGTATATTTGTGGAATGTATAATAAAGAAATGCATAGTATTGTTAACATAGTAATTGACTCATAAACCAAAAGGGAATAAGGACACTACAATTAGAGAAATAAGATTCTTAAATAAACTCCGGGTGAAAAGACGAACATGTAAAGTTTCTTTTCAAATATTCTCTTTCAAGGAACCTGAAAGCAGTGGCATTTCTCAAAATGCTTCAAAAGAAATCTACTTTCCAGCTGACTTCTGTGGCCTGGCAGGTTTCCTGTCTGATACTAGAGATGGCTGCTGAAGCCTGCAACTGTACTAGAAGTACTCCTCTGAAAGAACAGACAGCTATTGCCACAGTGCTTACCCACATGGAATAGGACATTTTCCCACTATTCTCCTTTTGAGTGATTGATGAAGTTTAGCAAGAAATAGGGGAAAGAAAGAGGTTCTGGGGTGCAGAATGAGTACAGTAGATGTCTTTTTGGTCAAAATCAGAAAAACCAGGCAATTTCTTCTAATTCTGGTCTTCCTATTAGACAACTTAAGAAGTGACTCTGGACTGTACAATACCAAGCTACCCATGAAGAAAGACTATGAAGGCTTTGTGGACAATGGGCAGCTTCTCCATGACAGTGTCATATACACCATACAGGCTCAAGTTGTAGGAAGGAGGAAAATGGGACAATTCTGTGCTTCGGATTCTGACATCTCTTATATGGAGAAAAACCACAAGGTCTCACAACTTAAATACACACACACACACACACACACACACACACACACACACACAGAGAGAGAGAGAGAGAGAGAGAGAGAGAGAGAGAGAGAGAGAAGCTAATGTATACTTCCAATGGATAGTCAAGAACTCATAGAATCCCTTTCTTACCAGAGGTGTCCATTAATTCTGAACCCTGAAGCTCCTGTTTTCTGTGACTCCAGCAAACATAGCCAGGCTGGGTTCCTCAGTTAGGACAGAATAGGGGACTCTTATGGGGATATAGTGCTCTTTGAAGAAGTAAAATAAATGTAATAAAACCAGGCAGCATAATTGCCATGACTTATAACCCATGGCATTTGATAATAACAAGGTTGGTACATTACAAATAAGTTCCACATTTACAACTATGCCTTGATATTTACATTTATTAAATTGTTTAGGGAGGTGATTCCTGGATGCTAGAGGCCCATATATAAAACGTTAGCATAATTGGAGTACAGCCAAATCCCTCAGTGTTCATTGCAGACACTTGTTAAAAGCTTGACCTTGGAGGCAAAAGCTTTCCACTTGTCTTCAACCAGTCATCAGGTGCTGAATGTATTCCTCTAAAATAAACCTGCTGTCATCACAGTTTGGAGAGTTTGTCCTCACCACTGACCTTAGGCAGGTCCTAAGTTCCCAGGATGGTCATGAAAGCTACGTTCTCACCTAGATGAGAAAATTACCTCTGATTTTTCTCCATTACCTGTACCCAGGTGTTCCTTTCCATTTGTTTAATTCCCTGAGAGGTGACACCATACATTAATTCATTGAGCAATTGCTTTGTGTAAAGTCCCAGAGATGAATGAGAGAGTTATTGCCATCAAGGAACTTACACTTTAGTCAAGGATACAGAAAACCAACTTTAGTATAAGGCACAGTGAGATACAGACCATAAGAGAAGTATGAATAAATTGCTATAGTAGCACACATTACACTACTTTAGTGGGATGAAGATAATTAAGAAAAGCTCAAAGAGTGGCCTTGATCCTTAAAAGAGAAAAAGGATCAGGTTGGGCTCTGTAGCCATACCAGTGTAACTGCAGGTTTGTAGCATGGCACAAAGGAGTGTGCTCTTCGGAGGATGCCATCAAAAGTTTTCTTATCTTATCATGGCTGCTGCCATGATAATTCAAGTACAAGATGACTGCAGAAATATAGTTGAACCAATTTTGCCAGCACCATATACTGAAGAGGCTGTCTTTCTTCCATTCTATTTTTTTAGCTCCCTTATAGAAGATTAGATGGCTATAGGTCTGTAGGTTCATTTCTGGGATTTCAATTCTATTCCATTGGTCCTGAGATATAGAACCAACCCAGATGCCCCTCAGTAGATGAATGGATCAAGAAAATGTGGTATATATACACAATGGAATTCTTTGCCTCCATCAGAAAGAATGACATTGTCCCATTTGTTAGGAAATGGAAAGGCTTGGAAAAAATTATATTAAGTGAAGTAAGCCAGGCCCAAAGAAACATAGGTCCCATGGTTTCCCTTATTTGCAATATCTAGTATATGTACGAGTCAAGCAGAAAAGGTCAGATAATGTGATGTTAGGAAAATGAACCCTTAGATATGTATTTAAATGTTTTTTTTTCTTGCATGCATTTGTTTCTAACGCATTTATAAGATTATCTCTTTGTTGCTTTGTATGTCCCTCCCCCACAGTATAACCCCTGCTTTCACTATATTTGATGTCGGTATAATTTGTGGAGGAGAAGGGGAAAAACAAGTCATTTAAGGATACTGGTGGACCCCTTGCAACAATGAGAAGTACAAGATGTCATGTCGAAAACGAACTTTACAACTTTGGTGGGGGGGGCGGGGGAGGATTGGGTGGGGGGCGAGGGGAGGCTGGGAAGGGATGTGAAGGTAAACAAAGGAGGAGGCTGCAATGCTTGATAAGAAATGTACTCATTATCTTGCCCATGTAATTGTAACCCCTCTGTACAGTATGTTCACAATAAAAAAAATTAAAATTAAAATTAAAAAACAGAAATATAGTTGAAGAGGTCTGTCAGTTACAGGTTACTCTGAATCTGAGACCTTTGAAGTCTAAGGTAGTTTTATTAATTAAGAAAAATGAAAAATTTTGAAGAGGGCCAAGAAAAGTAATTTAGGAGCTATTTCTAATAGTGTGAAGGATGAACTGAGATAAAGAGAGAGAGAAACAACCATCTGGTTGGATATCAAGGGCTGGATATCAGAAGAAAGAAAATACAAAAAGATGCTTCAGTAGTTTCTAGCCTTAGAAATTAGAGAAACAATAGTGCCAATGGTGAAACTGACAAATGGATGGAAAAAAAGTTTGATGGAGAATATGTCTGACTAGGCATAGAGGGAATTCAGTGTGAGCTCCTATGTGAGTGGGAAGGTGGTTCTGGAGTGCAGGAGAGAGATCATAGAGCGAGCCATCTGCTTGAAATTGTCAAAGCCAAGCATGTGACTAAGATCACCCTGGGTGTGGGGATAACACAAGTGAAAACTATAGAATTAATGACTACTTATTGTTTCTATGAAGACCATCACAGATAAAGGGGAATAAGTTTTCTCAGAGGCAAGGGAAGGCAGGGCTAGGTATACATGGTGAAAGACATGAGAGAGAATAAGCTGGATGAGGAGTCAGAGGCATTCCAAAGAATTGGAAGTTAAGGAGTTATAGACTTGAAGGACAAAGATTCACAGGAAGGTTGTAATAGAATAGTGGCATTTTGAGGATGATGTAGACTGAGAAGTAATGAGATGATGGAATAATGGATGCAAAAAGTGAGTCTTTTCAAAAGTACAAAGCACTACACAATATAAGGTCACCGAAAGTCAGCTTTCTATCACAGATGCTCTGGAGTCAAAAAGCCATTAACATGTGTAAGATATCTATTTTCTCATTATTCTGAATTCAGCTAGGGGCACATAGTATATGACCCTTTCATTTATTACCCCCTCCCTTCCTCCTTTAAGCACCACTGTAAGTGTTACCAGTTGTTCAAGTAATGTTCTTCGTTTCTTTTGAGTTTTGGTAAGAAACCTAGGCCATTGTGATATCATATGCCACAGGGTTCCTAAAGACTATTGAAAGAAAAATTCATAGTGTTTGAATATTTTCAACTTAATCCTCATTGTGATATCTGGGTTTATGTAGGAAAATAATGATACAAAATGATACATAAGATACTTGGGTTAGGAATAGAACAAGTCAAAAAAAAGATTTGCATTCAGAATTGAATAATAGCAGCTAATAAAGCTCTTTAGTGTTACATGATCCAGTAGTTAACTGTAGAAGCAACTTTATATTATCCTTTGACTACAAATGTATTTAGCCTAGAGGACACAGTTTGAAAATCTGAGATTCTCAGAAAAACACTGTAATAGGACACTTTTCTGTTCCTTTAGAGTAGTAATTGTTCAAGAACCACTTAAATGTACAGCTTAAAATATTAACCAGACACTTAGGATGCCCTATGAACTAATTGAAGTTCTTCTCATAAATTACACTTCATGTAAATGTCTTTCTGTCCTGTCAGTATAAGACTAAACTAAGACTGAACATTTTATGTCCACTCAGTTTGTCAGTTTCTTCTTTGAAGTCACCTCATTTTCTCTCTCTGTATTATTGAAAAAAATGAAAAGAGGGTAAGTATAGTGATTTGTGCAGCTACTTTGTAAGCCCATATGGTGAAATAAACGAAAGCCCACTGAGACCTTATCTCAAAAACAAGTGGAATGTAGTGGAACTTTCCTAGGTTCCTGTTTACTCAAGAGGCAGAAATTCATAGATCAAAGTTCAAGGCCAGCCCAAGCAAAGTAATTATGTAACAAACTAAAGTAAAAAGAGCTATGGGTATGACTTAAGTGGTTGTTTCCCTAGCAAGTGCAGAGTCCTGAGTTTAATACCCAGTACTAGAAGAAATAAAAGGAAAACAAAAAGCAAGGGAAGAAAATGGGAAAAGAAAAACGAAAAGTAAGCAAAAACCTAGAGAACTTACCCTTGTTCTTATTGTTATAATCACTATCATATTACTGAATGAGTTATCTTGTCTGTTCTATGTCTCTATGATTTGATGCTACTTGTATGTAAGACTTATATGAACCATTCAACCATACATTCAAACACACACCACCACCACCACCACCACCACACCATACAGTAAGATCCTACTAAGTATCCAAACTGAGGCTGTACATATCCAATGTACCACTGAAAAGATAAATTCTTCTTTGTTCAAGTTTTCTCTTGAAGATAGCTAATCAGGTCTGAAACCTCAGTGTCATATTTGACTCCATTTCCTCATGCCCTCAACAACCAATTAGTTCTTAGTTCTTTAAATATCACCTGGATCTGACTCACCACTGCCACCCCAGCATGGGCTTTTATTTGCCAGAAGTATTACTGAAATAGCTTCTAACAAAGGTGGCCTTCTAAGATCTCTTATTTCTTTATCTGTCCTACACAGAACACTAAGGACTTGTATCTGAAATATTTCAGGTTTGTATTTGTAGAAAACTTTTCAGCGTTTCCCTATCATGCTAAATTTTAATGGAGCCTACACTCTAGTTAAATTGTTCAAGTGTTATATTTTTGGAGTTTAGGACTGTATATAGCATACAATAGGTGTGAAGTAAATATTGACCATATGAATAAAATCATCACACATCCAAATGTACTTACATTTTAAACTTCAAGTGCCATCCTCTTCAAAGTATCTACATTGATACCTTCTTTCTACCTCATCTAAGATGAAAAGTAACATGTTTCTATGTAACTTCTGTGGTTATTATCCATACCATATTTTTAAAAAAAGAAACAGCTTCTTTGAGTGGGTACGCAGTAACTTGAACAGCCACATTGATAGTAAGGCTGAGAAAGCTTTAGCAAAGTAGAGAAGCTGTGGTTTTATGATATTTAGGATATTTTTTATTTTATTTATTTATTTTTGTCAGTCGTGGGGCTTGAACTCTGGGCCTGGGGGCTGTCCCTCAGCTCTTCAGCTCAAGGTGAGCGCTCTACCACTTGAGCCACAGCACCACTTCCAGTTTTCTGGTGATTTATTGGGGATAGGAGTCTCATGGTCTTTCCTGCCAGGGCAGGCTTTGAACCGTGATCCTCAGATCTCAGCCTCCTGAGTAGCTAGGATTACAGGTGTGAGCCACCAGCGCTCAGCTTTTAGGATTTTTTTTGTCTAATAAATCTTATACTTTGCTCATAAGCATCTAGAGGTAGAAATGTTGGCTGAACTTCAATTTGACAAGATATAGCTGAAAATATTATCTCAGCTAATTTCCAATAATTAGGGACAAAGTTTTGATTTGCATAATCTATGTATTTACAAGTTATATCCCCCTTTCAATGTAATAATATTTCATTTTTGGCTATTGTGACTATAGACATATAAATAAATTTTCTGTAAATAGCACTTTTGTATATAGCTTTCTTTTGATTATAAATCAAATATATAGCATGCTACATACATTGCATATATATCAATTTCCAGAAATTCAGCCTTTGGACTCTTGCAATTAAGCTTAAATTCCCCAAGTTGTAGATACTGTTTCTACACTTTCTACTGAGGATTTCACATATTTAGGTCTCAGAGGGAAGAAGGGGTAGAAAAAAAGAATGTATTTGATTGCTGGCACAAACTATTCCAAAGGAAACAATGAATTTGGCAGATTTGGGATCATATCAGTTATAGACACAGTTATTACACTGTCAAAGTGCTGATCATCAAGTCAGTCCACTGATGATGAAAGCTCTCCAGAGAATAGTAAACCTACAACTTTCCATTACTTATTCCAGATATTTACTCCTCTGAACATTTGAGGCCTGTTTGTTTTAGCGCTATACTCAAATAAATTTTTTCCATACAAACAGTTTCTCTGAGGCAGATAAATCACCCTTCTGACGTTTCTATATTTTTTAGCTATACATACAGCTCTCTACTCCTCTGGCAAGCAATGGGAAAGAATACTAAAGGAAGACCACACGATTCATACAATATGAATCTTTGAGTATGTCCTATTCAAAGACCAAATTCTAATGAAAACAATCTTAAACTTCTTTTAAATCAAAGCTCCTTGTAGAAAGTTTGCACATCTTGTCAACATTTCCTAGTTCATGGCATTTCATTAATCCTGAATAATTATCACAGGAAGCACAACACTTAATGCATATCTAAATTTTATTGAATTAGTAGGCATGACATAAAGATTACAAGTGATTCTTGGTTCCACTTAGAGGCAAGTGTTTATTCCAAGGCAAAATGAGAGCACAAATCTATAGTTTCACTGCTACTGAAATGCTTTGTGAAGGTTGTTTGATATGGTCACAATCTCCCTCACTACCTATTCAATGCTGTTTTTTTTTCACCTCGGTCTTCAGCTGAGGAATTCACAATGTCTAAGCTTGTAAAGAATCTTCTGTGTTGGAGGTAGTTATGTACCTACAATATGAATCATAGAAGATATTTGGTAAAAGACTCTATAAAAGGGGTAGAAGAGATACACAGTATAAAGACTGATTTTTTTCAATCTAATTGACCATAGTGGCAAAAATACCAAGCAAAATTTCAAACACACTTTTTATTTGGTCTATTAAACAACAAAGCATACAGTAGTGTGTGCAGATAACAGCTTTTAGAGACAATCTTAGATTTTGCATGAGCACCAAGGGCATATTTTCAAACATATATATTTATGTGCAATGACTAGTGTAGTGATTCAATGGTAATCCCTAAAAAATCTTTACACCGAATCTGTAAAATTACCTATATGGACAAAAAAGTCTTTGAAAATATAAAATGAGGAGATTAGCATAGGTAATCTGGGTGAGTCCTAAATGCCCTCATACTTGTCCTAAGCAAGAAGTAGAGGTAGATTAAATATACACAGGGGTGAATTATGTGAAGACAAAGAAGCAAGAGAATTCACAAGCCAAAGGAAATGATTTGGGAATTTTAGACCTTCTTACTAAAATTAGGAGATTCATTGTTAGGAAAGTATGTTGTGGAGATAAGGCCAAGAAAGTAGGTGGACCATCTTTGGTTAGTGCTGAAGAGATAAGGCAGAGAGAGATTCATGGATTCTCTCAGTGATCTCAACAGAAACCAAGGACAGAGATGAGATTATCCAGAAAAGGTCTGTGAGGCTCCTCTTTTCTAAAGATGTGAATTACATGGTGAATCAAAACATGTGACTCAAAACCCACTAGTTTTTTGAGACTGTTTTATCAGCAGAAATATTCCTAACTTGGCTTAAAAAAGAGATTGGACAAGAAGATCAAACTAGTGGCACTATGGCTCAAGTGGTAGAGCACTAGCCTTGCGCACAAAGAGGCTCAGGGTCAGTGCCTGGGCCCTGAGTTCAAGCCCCAGGACCAGAAAAAATAAAATAGAAAGACCAAGCTATCAGTTTACCAAAATTCTGCAAGCTGAAAATAGACTTCATCTAATGCGAGGCAACCATAAGTTACTCTCCAAGTTAAACAATCATCAAAAGGGCAGTGGTGAGGGTGCAAAGCAGAGGCCCAGGCATCTGAACAGAGATGCAGGTGTGAGTCAGGAGTACAGAGACTAAGGCCCAGTCCACTGTCTAAGAGGAAAGATCTGGAGATCCAAATGTTAAGAGTCAAGAGATGCAGAACTCTGGCCTGGCCTTGAAGCCCATGAAGAATTTGTTTGACTACTTTTTTTTAAGTGATTATGTCAGCTGACTCCTTTCTTTTTTTCATTATCTCCTTTATGAAATATGGATGTCTCATCATTATCCCATGCTGAGCCCACTCTTGCTATTTTGGAAGAAAAATTTCCTTTTCCTTGTTTTAATGGTTAGTTTGTAAGTGGAGATGTATATTGTCCCAAGAATACTGATACACAGTTTTACTTATACTTGATTTAGATAATCTAGATGATGAAATTTGGAACTTTGGAACTAATGATACTTAGATGAGATTTAAGACATAAAGTTGGAGTTATAATGGGTTGAGATGAGAATATTGGAATAGGATGAATGTATCTTACACATGGGTCAGACCAAGATTTGGGGAGGCCAGAGGGCAGATTATAGTGAGCTGAATGTGGCTTCCAAAAACAGCATTTGTATGTTACTGTATTTGGAAAAAATGTCTTACAGAAAATTATATTAGAGATCTTGAGATGGCAACATTATTCTAAAATAATCTAGCTGGTGTTATGTATAACTATATATCACCATAAACATATTTAGAGAAAGGCAGAAGATCAGGAATAAGGAGTAGAAAGTAACATACAAACAGAGGGAGGGGCTGGGAAGATGGCTCAGTGGTAGAGCGCTTGCCTTGTATGCAATAGGTCCTGGGTTTGATTCCCCAGCACCACATAAGCAAAAAGAAAGAAAAGCCAGAAGTGGCGTTGTTGCTCAAGTGGTAGAGTGCTAGCCTTGAGCTGAAGAGTTGAGGGACAGTGCCCAGGCCCAGAGTTCAGGCCCCACAACTGGACTACCACACCCCCCCCAAAAAAAAACAACAGTGAGAAATGTGTCTATAAGCCAAGAAATGCTCATAGCCACCTGAAGCTAGACCAGACAAAAAGTCATCTGTCGTACCTCTGGAGGGAGTAAAACAATTTGCATAAATGGTACTGTCATGTGTGGCAGTAATAAAATATTTTAGTAAGACTTAGTCCTATGCTAAATATGGGTGATGATTTTCAATGTAAAACAAAACTGCAAGTGATTAGAGATCTATGCCAAATGAGCAAACATTTTAATTAGGCTCTGAAAGGCTTTTGATGTTTGTGAAAAGCATGTGGAATTGCTTGAAATACAAATACATAATTTATCAATAATAGTGCTCCATTCTTACTTCTTCACAAGCTAGAAAATAAGGCAAGTTCACATCCAGAAAAGGTGATATAAACATCAGTATTTCTACCTTGACCAGCTTGATAATATGGCATGGCAAATACCCCCAATTTGAGGTGTTTTTCTATAACATGAAAAGTTATTAAGAGCCTCAAATATGAAATACCACAAAGACCTCATAAAAGACTTTGTGAATTCAAAATGCAATAGATATTTACATAAATTAATAGAACCTAACCTTTGTGGTAGTTGTTAATAAAAAGGGTGCACAAAATTGATATGTCCTTAAATATGTTTGTGTGTCTATGTGCATGTGTTCATGCAAGTATGTGCATGTATACTTTTAGATAAGAAAAATGGAAAATTTCAGATATTGGTACTACTTGATTTCTCTAATGTAACAACTCCAGAGTTAAGAATCAGAACTAGTGGTCACTTGTTTATATTATCTCAGATGGTGACTTTTTAAACTAGCCATTGTTCTTGGGTGCAAAAGTCTATAATGCTCTTTAGAGAAGTAAAAATAGGATTTTCTATATAAGAAATATAGATACAAAAATCTTTTACAGTAATCACAATATTCTGCATGAATTAGTCTTAAAATTATACTCTAGAGAACATATAGCAATTATTTCAACATGTATTTTCAACTTACAGACATGTTAAGTAAAACTTTCACTCTCTCAACTACTTAAAAAATGTTGAGCTTGTTTTCCTTCTGAGAGTTATTCTAGCAACATTGTTAAATTTGTTAATAGAAAGTAAGTAAATATAATGATGACTGAGAAATTCACTTGTTACTGAGATATGGAATCACTGCAAAGATATATAGAGAGATATAAATATATGCAAACATATATACATACATACATAGAATTTCTTCTTCAGATCACTCAAGTAGGCAAGGGGAGTTAAAAGGGAGAAAAACAATTCACCTTTTATTGCCTCCTTGATAAGAAATCTGTTTCCTCTCAAGTCTTTTAGAACTCTCTCCACTCCCTTCAAGGGGGTCAAGGGAGAAAGAATAGGGAGAAAAAAACCACCACAAAATATGAATCAGTGTTTTACTTTAAAATCTAAATAAAGGTATTAGAATTTTCAGGTTCATCTCTAGCATAAACATTAAAATGTAGGTTTTTCCTCTTAAAATAGCAATAGAAAGTATTAGTATAAACTAGATATCTATGCATAATTAGAAAATACTTCTTTAAGGTTTAAATCATTTTCCCTAACTAATTCTTTAAACTTTGGTTTATTTTTAGCAATGATAAGTGCCTGCAATATCATGCTGGAAAACTAGACTAATGATAAGTTTACTTTCAGCCAAAGTAATTGAATCCATCAGTTTTCACTTGTGACAAGATTCTAAATAACTTGGCTGGGGTAGAACAGTATGTTTGTTGAAATCCCCAAATGGTGGGCAATATGAGCCCCTTTTCAAAACACTAGCATGAATATCTTTCTAGATCTTTTCCTTTTAGATACATAATAAATGGTAGAAGCAGATGCTAAATAATTCTATTTCTTTTGTTCTCTTGCTTCTTACTCTTCTTGTTTTGGGGAGTAGAGCCGGCGTGACCCAGCCATATCAGATTTAAATTTTTTGACAGATTGAATGTTTTTGAAAGCCTTAGAACTCTTCAATTTCTAATACTTTCCTCTTCAGAGCCAGGTTACACAATGACAACTAATATATAGCATTACCCTTAAGTGTAAATGTAATATTATAACCATGACAGTTGTGCTCAAATTAGTATAATTGTGGGAGGAGTACTGTTTACAAACACACACTACTTTATCCAGGTTGGCTGAACTTTACAGAAATGCATTTAGTTGACTCCAACCCTTGAGTGAATGTTTTGTTCTTCTCAAATTATCTGATTTTGTTTACTTAAATATTTTCATATTCTTTGGTATCAGCAATCACTTAGATGACAAGGTTCCTCCATTGTGGCGAGAGCGTGACCTTTCCAAAGGTACTCGTCTGTTATCTGTAAGACAAAAAGGAAAAGAACCAAAAAACGTGGTGAGCTTCAGATCTTGGCTATTTCAGGATGTCAAGTGAAAGGAGGTTTTCAAACATTCCTGAAAAATCACTTAAATGAATATGTAAATAAGCAACAAGGAGCCCAGATCTGAGGAGTTCACACTGCAGCTGCCTGGCTGAGTTCAAGAGTTCTGCAATCAGCAATAAATGACTTTTCTTGGTAAGCAAAGTCAGAGTGATAAAAGAAATAGAAGAATTCTCTCAAGTACAGTCCCCTTGGAAATAGCAGGAAACAACAAAATTCCTTGGTAAAGATGTAAATTGAAAGGATCTATGTTCATTGCCTTTTGTTAGAAAGCACTTCAATTCCCTGTGAGTATTCAGTTTTATGTTGGTTACCTTTAGAGGACACCAGTTTGGGCAGATCAGAAAAGAGTTGTTTGTTTGTTTGTTTTACAATGATTGTATAATATGGCAATCAAAGCAGCTACTGAATTTGCCTGATTTTATGATTTAAACAAATTCAATACATCATATAGTCATTATGGGAATGAATAATAAATGGAACCTAGAATAGGCCCCACCGGTCACAGGAAGAATAATCACTGCAGAGATAACTGTTGGCACAAAGCTTGGAAAGCAAAGTTTAAAAGCATTGTAAGTTGCTGAAAATAGTTTTTGCTTTAATAGGAAAAAGGTTTACAGCTCTGCATTGTGATGATAACTACTATATTATTATCACCTCTGTTTTATGCTCAGCTTAAATGCAGTTGATGTGGGTGAAAAATCCCTTTCTGACAAAACCATTATATACTTAGATTCTCTATCTCAAATGAGAGAAGGTCCCTAGAAATAATAACCACCAGCAGCATTTACATAAATGCTAATACTTTACACTTGTTAATTTGTTAATTCACACAACATCCCCGGGAGGTAAGCCCATTTCATTCCATCCTATTATCTCTTATAGGGGATCATACTGCAAAGTTAATGCCTGTCAGGCCTGCTTTGTGCAGTGGCTATGTTTGGACCTTTTTAATCTTTTTTCTAAGGTGATGATGCCCAAGAAATACATCTTGCCTGTCACAGGGGGAAGATGGCTTGAGAAGTTCTGAGGTGCCTTTCTCATCTCTTTTTAGCATCTCTTGACTGATTCTGGTTAGCCTGTGGTCAATACACAGTACAAACAAACTGCTTCCCCTGACCTTGGCCTCATTAAGGAGGGGATAACACTGTTCAAAAAGAAATGTACTCATGACCTTACCTATGTATCTGTAACCCCTCTGCACATCATCTTTACAATAAAAATTTTTAAAGTCTACCGAGAGCTTTGAAATGCAATAAATATCACAGGAGGTAAGAAAGCAAGAAGGTATTTTCTGTACTTGAAGATATATCAGAGTGATGGATTATTTGGGTATCCTTTTGAAGATATCATTAAGAAGTCTATTATTCAGTCTGTGATATGGATCACAATTCAGCTAAAAATGTGGAGATAGCGTTCTTGGATAAAAGGATTATTACTAGATGTTCCTAGTTTGCATACAGATTGATTTGGGACTTCTTAGAAAACATTTACAAATGACTTATAGTAAAATGGCTCCTGTTACATTGCTAGCATTTAAGCATGCAACTTTTAAAAGTGACCTGTCATGGGAAGGATCTCCAAAGTCCCACAGGATTCTCCTAGGTTTGTGTTTTGGCCACAATGTGTCCTACATGCTAAGTCAACCGTCATTCATGCCTTCTCTCCAAGAATGCTTCTGCCTTCCTATATAACATTTAGATGACCATTGACACCATCTTGCAACTTATCTCCCTTTTATGTGCCTAATAGGTCTCTGAGATAATAATTATGTGAAGAAGAATTTCTGTAAAGGTCACCACTTACATTTTCAAAATGTCAACCCACAACCTTGTTTATGAAAATAAATACTTTTAGAAACAATGGCAACAATTACTTATCTCAGTCTTTTGACTTATTTTCAATTCTCTGTACATATGTTAAAGCAAATTTATTTATAAAATGCATATATTTATATTCTAGACATGTATGGATCAAGCTACAAGTGGAATTCAGAGGTTATCATGAGGCATATATATCTATATGTACACATATAAATCTATATATACATATATACTTATATATATGTATGTGTGTATATGTATATATATATATACAACATTTTCCATCTGTCTTTATATGTTAATGGCTAGCAATCAAGTGATAACATTTTTTCTTTTTTTAATTTTTATTTTTTATTGTTAAATTACTGTACAGAGGGGTTACAACTACATGGGCAAGATAATGAGTACATTTCTTATCAAGCATTGTAGCCTCCTCCTTTGTTTCCCCTTCCCATCTCTTCCCATCCTCCCCCCTGCCCCTCTACCCAATCCTCCTACCCCCCCACCAAAGTTGTAAAGTTCGTTTTTCCACATAACAACTTGTACATCTCATTGTTGCAATGGATTCACCTGTATCCCTATTTAAACAATTTGTTTTTTCCCTTCCCCTCCACAAATTATACCAACATCAAATACAGTGAAAGCAGGGGTTATACCATGGGGGAGGGACATACAAAGCAACAAAGAAATAATCTTATAAATGTGTTAGAAACAATCACCTGAAAGAAAAAAAAACATTTGAATACATATCTTAGGGTTCATTTCCATAACATCAACTTATTTGACCTTTTCTGCTTGACTCAGACATATACTAGTTATTGCAAATAAGGGAAACCATGGGACCTAAGTTTCTTTGGGCCTGGCTTACTTCACTTAATATAATTTTTTCCATGTCTTTCAATTTCCTAACAAATGGGGCAATGTCATCCTTTCTGATGGAGGCATAGAATTCCATTGGGTATACATACCACATTTTCTTAATCCATTCATCTACTGAGGGGCATCTGGGTTGGTTCCATATCTTAGCTATGGTGAATAATGCTGCAATAAACATAGTCGTGCTGGTAGCTTTAGTGTGGCCTTGTTTGTGATCATTTCGGTAAGTGCCCAAAAGTAGGATTGCTACGTCATAGGGGAGCTCTATATGATAACATTTTTTCATGCTGAGAATTATATCTTCTTTGAATTACAAATTGAAAAATCACCTAATGAGTATTTTGAAATACAACATTCTCTGTTTGTGGTATTAAAGACTAATATTCCTTATAAGTTGGCATTCAGTTATGTGAAAAGAACAAGTAATAGATATTATTGCCATTAGTGGTAACAGAGTAATTCAAGTGATTGTGAGAATGTTTCCTTTCTTTAATTGTATATAGGTAGAGGTGTTAGGCACTTATGTGATATGATTTGATAGTTGAGATTCTAGAGATTCTACAAGATCAACTCTCAGCCAAATTCACTTTTATTAGTCTCCCAACACTACTGATACTGCTGTGACTTAGCGGGCAAAACACTAAAGGTTTTATCCCAAGCCATCACTAATTTAAAATTCATGTATTTGCTGGGTATGGTGGTTAATGCCTGTAATACTAGTTACTTAAGAGGTGGCGATTGGTAAGATTATATTTCAAAATCAGCCAGGGAATACAAGACCTCATCTCAACCAATAAAAACTAGGCATATTGGCCTGTGCATGTCACCCTAGCTATGTAGAAAGTAATTAGAAAAATCATGGTCTAGGCCTGACTGGGGTGAACATGGGGTAAGGAGAGAAGAGACTCTATTTGAAAAACAGTGAAAGCAAAAAGGTCCATGGGTATAGTTCAAGTGGTACAGGGAATGCTCAGCAATTGCAAGATCCTGGGTTCAAACCCTAGTATAGCCAAGACTTCCTACAAAAATTAACAGCAGAAATAACAGTTGAACGTCTCATATACCTATGATATGTAGGGCTTTGTTAATAAGTACTGGCATCCCTTTCTAATTTTCCTGTTGGGATTTTGGAAATGAAAATGAGAAAAATGTGTACTGGTGGGGAGAGGAGTTTTCTATGTGTGTAGATTTATTTATGACATTATGAAAGGAGCTATATAGGAAACTTTCTCTACAAGAAGGAAAAATGACATTATTTTCTTTCTCTGTTTCCTTTCTCCCAATTAATGAACTAGCACATCATAGTAAATAAGAAATTCCAGGTCTAATACATCCTCATGGACTAAGAATTCATAAGACCAATCAATATATCTATATGGTTCAGAAACATGAAGATTCATGCAGTAATATGTTTGGGATGCCAATTCCAAAACGTAGCATTCAAATCTATCATAGCTCATTGTAAACAAAAGTGAATATATAGACTTTGGTCATCAGTGGCTTGTTTTTGAAATATACCCAACATGAAGGCAAACAAATTCTGATATTATGAATGGACTTGGTCAATGAATGAAGTTAAAGTGAAAGATATAGTTACATCAAAATGTGTATGCTATGGAGTAAAGGTGGTCAAAATGAAATTGACATTCAATTTTTCACCCAAAGGGAATAAAAGTACATGACTCAGCTTTAACATGATTTTTCAAGGTAACCAGTAAAATCAAGCCTCATCCTACTGTCATAAGAGTTATAAACTTTGTGCCCTTCATTTATTTCCTTTCTTTTTCTTCCTTCCTTCTTTTTCTTTCTTTCTTCCTTCCTTCCTTCCTTCCTTCCTTCCTTCCTTCCTTCCTTTCTTCCTTTCTTCCTTCCTTCCTTCCTGTCTGCTTTCCTGCCTTCCTGCCTGCCTGCCTGCCTTCCTGCATTCCTTTCTCTCTCCCTCCCCCGCTCCCTCCCTCCCTCTCCCTCCCCTCACACTCCAAATCTCTCTCTCTCTCCCTCTCCCTTTTTTTCATTTGCTTCTTCTGTGGCTTGAACTCAGGGCCGGGCACTCATGACACTTTAGCTCTAGGCTAACGGATTACCACTTAAGCCACAACTCCATTTCCAAGGTCTTTTTTTGTAGTGAATTGAAGACAAGAGTGTCATGAACTTCCCTGCCCAGGCTGGCTTAGAGCCACAATCCTCAGATCTCAACCTCCTGAGTAGCTAGGATTACAG